CGTCTCTGTGTGAGGTGTTCAGAGCCGAGCTGTTTAGCAGCTCCTGCACCTCAGTCTTCAGCTCATCGTTATCTCTAGCCAGCTGGTTCAGTTTCTCCTGCAGGAGGCAGTAATGCAGCATATTTACACCTCGACAACTTACTGGAGGCGCTGATACTCATTTCACATGCAGAGATATTGTCCAATCACAACACAGCTAATTTACATGCGTTTCTTTAAGTGTTGGCACAAAACTGAAATTCTAACTTCAATACAAGACCTTGAAAATTATTGATATTTGATACCATTTACCACAGGAAGAAATTGCCACAACATTAAGAACATAAAATTTGAAGAGCGTCTAACTTAATTTACTTTTGACCACAGTCACAGCATTTTATTATTAACTGAAACACTCCTGTCTGAAAGCTCTGAGCGGATTATGTAGTAAAAGTAATAATAATAATAATAATATTTTTAAAGCAGAAATATATTACTGTTACTGTTTACAATGAAAAGTATATTATTTTACTTTATTAAAATGTTTACTATATTTTAGACTAATAATTATTAAAAATTTTATTTCACAAGAGTAATTAATTATTCATTATTTTTACTTTTGTAGCAGGATTTTATAATTAATGAGTAATGCTTTAATGTCTTCATTTGCAAGAGTTAAACCCTTGATTCAATATATTAATGAAATTATATTATCTAATAATTACACAAATAAATGTGAATTGAATTTATACTAAAACACAGATTCAGCAAAGAACACAAAATCTCCCCCTTGAGATTTTAAGTTAATATTTCATAATAATATTATTTAATGAAACGTTCACGGTTCTCTGATGTTGGTTAATGGTCACATGACATGCAAGTTTTTAACAAAATTATTAAATTTTTGTAGTTGGATTTAATAATTAATAATGACTTGAACCCTTGAGCGTTTATTTTGCAAATGTGAAAAGGCGTAACTGGTGCACAGTGCGTTCCCAAATGCACATTAAAGTCACATGCATTGACTGAACTCAGAGATGCTGAAATCACAGGATCATGAGCTGATCGTGTATAAAAACAACATAACAGACTATATAGTCTTTAACTAAAATGCACACTCTGGGGTGTATCAACTTGATATCAGAGAAAAGATCGAGTGATCTCAGATGGAAAAAATGAGTTTCCAATATATAAAATTGATATGCATAAAAACTC